AGGGGACGGCAGAGGATGTTATGGTTAGAGAGCATCAGCGAAGCAATGAGCATGAAACTGAGCCAACTCAGGGAGGCGGTGAAGGACAGGAAGGCCTGGCGCGATGTGGCTCATGGGGTCATGAAGAGTCGGGCATGACTTAACGACTGAACAACAGCAACAGACTCAGGCCTTGCTAAGTATAAAGGATGCTCTGAAACGAGGGCAGGGTGGGGGTTGGATTGACCCTGATCAGCCTGTTTAAACAGCACCCCCCCCCCCCCCCGCAGTCCTTCTCTGCACCCTGGTTGGGACTCAGTTCATTTTCCAGACCGGTTCTTTATAATGGAAAGTCTCCATAGACCAGGGTTTCTCAACCTTGGCAGCTTGAAGATGGATGGAAGACGGATGAAGATGGATTCCCCGCTGGCTGGGGAATCCTGAGCGTTGAAATCCACACACCTGAAAGCTGCCAAGGTTGAGAAATCCTAGTCCAGACAGAGTCTCAAAGCCCCCTTTGCAAACTTTCAGAGATCAGTTGCATTGAAAACCGAAGTCAGCGCCTTGTGCTTAAGCAACACATGTTCTGGGCGCCGTTTTCCCCTCCCCGTCCGTGGCATCGTTTGCTCCGGTTGACGTCACTCTGGGAATTGCAGCCGGTTTGTTTACTGCTCTCCAAACAACTAAAGGCGTTTGGGGGTTGACTTTCCTTCCCCAGTTCTCGCTGGGGGACCTGGGTGGTTGGAGAATCCTTAGCAGGTGAAAAGCAAATCATCGTGGCTTTCCTTTCCCCCGAAGTGGTTCAGATTTGCGTTGGGAGTGGCCACGTTTTCCCACGTTGGCCTTTTCCCCTGTGTCCCCATTTGTGTTGGGTGTGTTGAATTGGAGAAGTTTTAAAAAATGGAATCGGAATATGGGGTTTTGGTGCCCATTTCCTCTAACGCTCGCATTTGTGATTGCAATTTTGCCAATCTGGCACAGGTTTTGCAAATATTTTCCCGAAAATAATTCATGTGGTCCATTGTTGTCATGAACTTCTTTACGCTTTGTAAACTGTTTCCTAATTCCCCTTTAAAAAAAAATGGGAATGTGTGTGAATTGTGTTGTAAAATCCAGAAAATGGTGAATTTGGAAGGACATCTACATTTTGCTTTGTGAATTTTGCTTCCTGCACCGAAAATTCAAATGCAGACTAAATCATTTTCTCCCCCATACAGGAGTCTGGAGCCCATTTGTGCTCTCTTATCAGGAAAAAAAAATGAGCGTGCACTCTAAAGATATATAGGTTTATTTATAAAGAACATACATGCCCAGTATAGATTATGTATCTTATAAAACATACCTCCTCCCAAATACACATTTTATATAATATACACTCTATTAAGTGTTGGTATAACTTGGTTTTCCTTACTATATTTTTTCAGATAAACAAATATAAATAGATATTTTGATGTTTTCCTCCCACACCCCAATGGATTCTTTTGCACTTCTCTGATCTAGTTGATGCAAGGAGCATAAGAGGAGTTAGGGTTGGAGAAGATTTGCAATCACGCTAACCCTGCAGGACGTTCAGTCTCAACTGATCAGCCTCCAGATGTCCTGATTTACACCAACTTGGGAATTGTGATCCAAAATATTGCCTGGGTCAGCACATCGGAGGAAACTTGAGTACCTGCAAAGGAAAGCCTGTGTGCTTCCAGATCTCACCGCAACAGGATATCACTTTTTTTAAAAAACTGACAGAGGGTTTAACAGCTCAACACAAACCAGGCCCTTCTAACTCTTGGTCTGTGTGGGTTTCAGTTGTTCCCACTGATCGGGGCCGAAGCTTGA